GGGGGGGTCTGTGCAGCACCCAGGCCGTTGCTTGGCGCGGGGTGAGATATGGGGTTTGGGTAAGGTAGGGTAGGGTAGGGTAGGGTAGGGTAGATGGTAGGTATGTGCCTTTCTCTTGATCCCGCCGCCTGCTGCCGCGTGTTGGCCTGGATCGTCTTGGCCATGCCTCTCCTTTTCTCGACTCCTCTCCCTCTCCCTCTCCCTCTCCTTCCCCAGGAATGGCCTTCTCACTCCCCTTTTATCCTCCCCCTGATCCGCTCCCCTCTCGCTCCCTCACTGCTCCCCCCTTGCGTGTTGTAGCTCCACGCGACGACAACGGGAGAGCATCACCCCTGCACCACCTATTTTCGAGCGACAGCCGGCCTAACGCATAACGCTTCCCCTCCCCTGTCGACGTCCCACAACTCCCCGCGGACGGCGGGCGCGCCCGTCATGTTATCAGCAGCAGCAGCCGACCCGCGGGCCCTGCTACTAGCCGCCGGCCTGCTCTCCCGCGCAAAGGGCGCCCTAGCAGCGGCCCCGCCGCCGTTACCACCACGCGGCGGCGGCGGCGACCAGCTCTCGTTCCCCGCCTGCGTCGACGTCTGCGTCGTCTCGGCCGGGTGCAGGCTCGACGATGCCGGCTGCATGTGCAGCAGCAGCAGCAGCAGCAGCAGCAGCAGCAGCAGCGGCGGCGGCGGCAATGGCTTCCTGGGCGCCGTCGTGAGGTGCATGCCGCGGTCGTGCACGAGCCGCGCCATCTCGGCCGACGACTCCTTCGTGAGCATCGTCGTCGACGCCTGCCGCGCAAGGGGCACCCCCGTGCCGCCCGCCGCCGCCGCCGCGGCGCGGGAAATCGCCGCCGGGCTGGGTCTGCTCCGCGGTCCTCCCCCAACGGTCACCACAGCCACCACCACCACCGCCACCACCATCAACCCGCAGAGGCCGCCACATCCATCGCCACCGCCAACGGCCACCACCACCGGCGGGGAAGGGAACAGCTCAACCGCGCCCGCGTCGTCGACGGCGCAGACCCCGCACGAGACCGAATCCAATACTGCCGGCAGTAGCGGCAGCAGCGCCAGCGACAGCAGCAACGACAACAGCAGCAGCCACCAGGCCAGGCCAACGCCACCACAGCCAAACCCCTCGCCGCCGAGCGACAGCGACCCCGCGCCGCCCCCGCGCACGGAGCCGACCGACTCGAGCCCCTTTGCCACCCCCATCGGGCTCGCGTCCAGGGCCGCCCGGCCTGTCTCGACGTACTGGGTGCTGCTGCTGGTGTCCGTCGTGTGGCCGCTATGACCTCCCTGCGCAGATGACGAACGTCTGCCTGCCTGCCTGCCTGCGTACATGAACCCTCCCTCCCTCCCCGCCGAGCCTCATGTTCGTCTTGTCCGACCCACACCCATCAACCTATATTCCGGACGCGTTAAGCCGCGGTGGGGGCGGAGGAGGGACTGCACTGCCGTGTTTCCTTTGCTGCTGGCCACATCCCAGTTGGGCTTGCTTCCTTCCGTGTGGGCGGCCGGGAGGGCGAAGCTGAAACCAATCTCTCTCTCTCTCTCTCTCTCTCTCTCCTTCTCCCCATTTAGAAAATGGCTGATTAATCTCTTTGGGGCCGTAATGTGTACTTTTATGTTGTGCTTTCCTGTGCCGGCAAGCCTGCGTCATGACGGGGGCCCCTTGTTAATGCATGACAAACCCAGGCGAACGAATTTCTTCAAAACGGGCAAGAGGAGCTTGGGATAGGGCTTGATAAATATGTACCCGAGGTTTCTGGGAGGTGGCGACTTTGGCAGCGGTTTGTCTGGGTTTGCCTGCTTTGCCGGATGCGAAGCCGTCGGGTCTGTTCGAGTCGGGCTCAGGGGGGTGGTGGTAATCATGTCAGTCCTGAATACCTGGGTGACTTGTTATCTCTGCTGGATTCGTAAACATGCGCTGATTCGCGTCGTGATTCATGAATGACATGTCATGTCATTGAACAACTCTGAACCAACGTCAGTCGGCCTTCCTAGAGCAGAAGTTGGTCAAGACAAGAAGCAAACGAGGTTGGAACCTACAAGGAACACGGAAAACAAGAAGCGCGCCCAACTCTTTCCCTTGCCATGTTTTGACCTTTTTTTGTATTTTCTTTCTCTTCTAGGTCTATTCACAATGTACCCTTCTCATCAGCATTACATGAAGAGAGCGAATGCGACACCGAGGCCGGCGACTGTGACGAAGCCGCCTGCGCTCGAGGCCGTCAGGCCTGCCGGGGCGCCGCCCTTGACTGGGGGAGTGGTGGAGTTGCCGCCACCGTTGCGAGTGCCGTTGCCGCCGCCCGTGCCGCCACCGCCGTTGCGAGTGCCGTTGCCTGCGTTGCCGCCGCCCGTGCCACCACCGCCGTTGCGGGTGCCGTTGCCTGCGTTGCCGCCGCCCGTGCCACCACCGCCGTTGCGGGTGCCGTTGCCTGCGTTGCCGCCGCCCGTGCCACCACCGCCGTTGCGGGTGCCGTTGCCTGCGTTCCCGCCGCCCGTGCTACCACCGCCGTTGCGGGTGCCGTTGCCTGCGTTGCCGCCGCCCGTG